AAAAAATAAGCTGTACTATAGCTTTGTACTGTCAGAATAACAATGAATATACATTTCAATTAAATATTGGTATTCATGCCCTATAATTCACGAATATGTTTCTTTCATTCACTGGAATTTACTCGAATTTAATGGAAAGATAAATTGCAAGTTAAAAGGGATAAGATTGCATCTATATTTGAATTGTGTTTGGTCTAATTACATTTGGCAATGATTAAAATCACTTTCGTTTTGTTATTGTTTTGTCAACAATTATATTGTTCAATTAGATGTAAATATTACCCAATTATTTGCATATTTCATCGTTTCTTATTTCAGCTCCCGTTAATTCATCACACGAAATTCTAAATTTCATGGCATAAATTCGTAATAACAAATTACAACGATTCCTTCACTGAATGTCGTACATAATTAACTAATACATCTCATTGCCATTTTAATAATTTCACGCTATCAACATATGTACATTCATTTTATGTTACACTTTTATAAATACTGTTACTAATCGATAAGTATTAATATTATCACTGTGTATAAAATATAACTATGCTATATTTATCTATTGAAGAGACAGGTATCTGATGATAAAATAATCATCAGAGTATAAAACAATTAATATAAGATCTAATAAACGAATATCAAATCGAAATAAAATATAAATACCCTCTTTATATTTGTCTTAATGTCAGTTATGTCTCATTTTCGTTTTTTCTATTCATTTTTATTCAACAATAAAGAAAAAAAAGAAGTAATAGTAGATTGTCAATAAATAATTTCAATTTCCTACTTTTTCCGATGGATAACAGAAGAATCTCTGAAAGCGAAGCTAGTAATAGATTTAAGCTAAGCAATCCCTTTCACGTTCCATTTCGATAGGACCTGTGCCCCAAATTTTCCGATTTTTCGTGTAAGGAATAAGACCTACCAAAAGTCCAGAAACAACAATCCAACCACCAGCCATATAAAAAGACAAATCCCACGAATTTGTTACATCGAATAGCCAACCTGCCAGCGGTGGACCAAGAAGATTTCCTATACCTTGACACAGTAGACTAAGACCATAGGCAGTGGTGAATCTCTCCAGAGGTATCAATTCTACAAGTATAACAGGAGTAAAGCTAAAGCTGCTCGCGAAAAAGAGACCAAACGCAGCCGAGGTGACCATCAACAGGTTGTAATAAGGGGTTAATGTTGTCATTAATATTGTTGCCATACCACAGGCAACAAGACACCAAGTATATGTCTTACTGACATTCATCCAGGGTTGATCTCCCGCCCATCCAAGACCAATCTGAGAACAATACAAGATAATGTTGTTTTAATATTTGTACAATAATTTAGATGTAAAAGCAGCCGACTACCATTCCAATAGTGTTGGTGATGCCGATAATACTGAGGAGATTCGCGGCATCAGACTCGGTGTAACTGTTCCTGGTAAGATGCTCGGCAAGGTAAAAGTAAGGCACGATAAACCAAGTGAATAGCAAGATTGTTGACAGTGAGAGGAATAAAAAGTGTAGCTCCAGGAACATCGAGAAGTCCATCATACCCTTCAGTAAGTCTACTAATTCGCTGTACCATTTCTAAAAATGAAACGTTAAGATTGATTAAGATTTTACAATTTTGAAAATAATATCTTTGCTAACGAAGAATGTATTTTATAATTTCTGTTAGTATTCTTAGATGTTAATTTCATTAAGAATTGCAATTTTTTCCTATTTACGTGAGAAGTAACTTTTATTGTACCTCTTCGTTTTCTTTGGCTAAAGTAGTCATGCTGTTTCTATAAATATCAGGACAACTACTAGCCCTTAATCTATATTTGTGTAAATTGAGTGCAGCACCACGGTACATAACAGAGTTCCTGTGAACTCTAATATCTTTGAAGTAGTGAGTATTGGTATTGAACTGTCTCCTCAACCATGGAAGTGAGTCTGTTCTGACAACTCCACAGTTCAGATCCCCTGTACGTTGCTTGGACACTGATTTCGATTTTCGTCCTTCAGCCACCTGAAAAGTTCAATGATAATACAGAAAAAAATTTAACGATTTTTTCTCTCTCTCAATGTATTAGATGATATTTCAATTTACGTGTTCTAGTTCTTTAGCCAACAGAGGATTAGCTTCTTCCGATTCCTTTTTAGATATCTTTTTAGCAATATGATTCTTTATAGTGTTGCATGCAGATCCTGAATGAACATTATTTGTCGTATGCGAATCTTCGTGTTTCGGCTCGTCGTGTGCTTGCTTAATCCTTTTTTCAAAACGAGTAGTATTAACATTATTTTCTTTTTATGATTTATTCATAATGCTATTAAGTAAAACATTGAATAAGACAAGAACATAAAGCGTAAGAAATAAAAACGATAAGATAATGATAGTTCAAGTTTAAAACCTCA